GCTTATTATGGAAAAAGAAGCTGCTATAAAGGAACTTGCATCTTCAGAGACTCAATTAGCTTCTTTGAGAACACAAATTGACAACCTAACTTCAGAAGTCGAAGAACAGAGAGCAAAGGTAAGCACTGATATTTGATTTGGCTAGATCTTTTGGATACAAGTTTCATGGTGCATGCATCTCCTTTGCAGGTAACTTCTACTAGAAATATTCATGATAGTGCCCAATCTGAGCTTAACTCGCTCTTCCCTCATCTTCACAAAGACGAGCTGCAAAAATTCGTAGGGGCTCTGCTGCTACGTACGAGATCGGAAGTTGTAGATTCGTTGCTAAAATTGTAGCAAAGTTTGGGATTTGCAATGAGATTCAAACCGCCTAGATTGCCGCCTAGCACCGCCTAGCTCACCTCAGGCACCTAGCCAGCGCCTAGGCGACTGCCTAAGTCCTCCCCGCCTAACTGAACGTTTTGGTCTAAATCAGGTTGGAGCTCCACCGCCCAGTGCCTAGGCGCCGCCTAGGCCGTTTTTTAGAACACTGATTAGCATCAATAATAATATATGTAGTGATAGCTACACGTCTACAACAATGAGTAATGTTAAATTTATTGTATTTTTCATACCACATTTGTATCACATTTTTAATGGAGATAGAGCCCATCAATACATAAACTAGTACAAATAGAAGATGTGATTAGAGTAGCATTTTTGATATCATAGGACATGATTATTTTCCACTTTATGAGATGAAGTCTTTGAGTTCAAACCTCTTTTATAATAGCTGTTAATCAAAATATAAAGAACTATATTGATGCTTGACAACAAAATCTTGCAATTCTTTATTCTTTATTTTTACGATATAGCAGTATAGAGTTAGGCAAGTGAGAATCAAAGAGAGGCTAGTAAAATTAGGAAGACAAATTGACCAAAAGCTTTTGCAAATATCCAATCGACCACCCAATTACCAAATTTTTCATGGAAGAGACCAAAAGCTATTACTCGTGCTTCTACTTTAATAGTCAACGCCTTCGACGGCCTCGAAGCCTCAATTCTCTCCCACATAGCCACACTTTTCCCCCAAGTTTACGCCAAGAATACTGTCGTTGCATGGTGTGGTTGGACTCTGAACAAGTGAGATCTGTTATTTATGTTAGCTTTGGCAGCTTGGTGATGCTGACACATGACTAATTGTTTGAACTTTGGCACGGCTTGGTCAGTTGCGGGAAACAATTTATATGGGTGGTGCGGTCAGATACGCTTTCGGGGGAGCAAGGAGAGCACGTGATTCCGATGGAGCTGGAGATGGTTACCAAAGATTGGGGTCTTATAGCTGTTAGAGTATAGTGCTTTAACATTGTGACACTTGTCACAATCTTACTGTAGTTAGTTAGTTAGCTGTTATATGTAACTATATATAAGAACTCATCATGTAATTACTTACTCATTAAGAAATATATCAGATTGTTCTTCTCTCTCTCTAACTTCTCTCTAGTCTCTTTCTCTCTATCTCCTCTGTTCTTGATTCAATATACAAGATTACAGTATATGTACAATCATTTGATATAGCTTAACATGGTATCAATCGCCATTGTTGCTTACGCTTGAAGATTCGATCCTCTGTGACTTCCGCCTTCTTTGATTCAGATTGGTTTTCTTTCTCCGATCCGACTTCGTCTTCTCCAATTTCTACTTTCTGCAATTTCTAGGGTTTCGTATCGTTCTTCTATTCTTCCTCGGTACTTGCTGAATTCTGCACACCTAGTGTTTGTTGTATTGTCTCACTGACAAGTTGATCTTGAATTCACGATGGTGACTGCTTCGCAACTCCAACTACTTCAATCTCCGATTACGGGCCTGATTTCCTCCATTTCTACGTCGGTTAATGTCAAACTTGATGATTCGAACTATCTCAATTGGCACTTCCAGATGCAACTTTTGCTTGACAACAATGGCATCATGGGGTATGTTGATGGTTCGATCGCATGTCCATCTCAATATGCTTCGTCCTCAGGTGAATCTGGTATCTTTTCTTCTTCTCCGACTGATGAATACATAGTATGGAAAATGCATGATAGAGCTATTATGCAATTGATTACTGCCACTTTATCACCTATTGCTATGTCCTGTGCGATTGGTAGTACTAGCTCCAAGGATCTGTGGATTAGGTTAAAGGAACAATTCTCCACTGTATCTAGGACTAGCATTTTTAAGATGAAATCCAATTTGCAAACAATTAAAAAGGGGTCCGATTCGATTTCTCAATATCTTCATTGCATTAAGGAAGCTAGGGACTATTTGTCTGATGCTGGGGTCTATTTTGCGGATGAAGACATTGTTATTCTTGCTTTGAATGGTTTACCTACTGAGTATAACACTTTCAGGTGTGTTATCAGGGGGAGTGAAAGTGTGATTTCACTGAAAGATTTTCGATCACAGTTACTTGCAGAGGAAATCATTGTTGAAAATTCAGTTCATAATCCTCTTATGACAGCTATGGTTGCTAATACAGGTTCCACTTACACAAAAGGGGCTTCGTTTGAGTCTCAGGGTTTCTCTCCTCATCATGGTCAATCTCAGGTAGCCACTAGAGGTTTTAAACCCTATAATGGGAACAAGAACAAGGGCAAAGGTCGTTTCAATCAGGGCTCGAGATTTTATAATTCTAGACCCGTGTTTTCCCCTATGGCACATGTGTTTCCCAACTCTAATCCTGGAGGTCTTGGTCCATCTCCTGGTCAATAGTTTGGAAGTCCTTCTACACCTATGCTTCAAATTTGTCAGTTGTGCAATTCTGAGGGACATACTGCCCCATTCTGTGGAGCCTCTTCACACGAGAAAACCAAATGTCACATATGTGGTCGAAGTAATCATACCACTTGGTATTGCTTCTATAATGATAAGGGTCCAAACTACATGGGAATGCATACCACTACTTATGTTTCTCCACAGTCCTCCTATGCTATGCAACCACAACTTGTTCAGTACAATTCATATCAAGCTCCTCCTCAGCATTCCTCATTCACACATTCTCAGTTTCATGCACAACAACCCCCTATACAAGCCATGCACACAGTGTTCAATTCTGCACCTCAGTCATCAAGTTCTTCAGGTCATTCTCAGGTGTGGCTCACAGACTCTGGAGCCACCAATCATATGATAGCTGATTTGACTAATCTGTCCCTGGCCTCACCATATCCAACAAATGAAACCATTCACACTGCAAATGGGGAAGGTTTGAAAGTATCTTATGTTGGTCATTCTACTATTCATACATTAGTTTCTCCAATCAAATTAAACTCTGTGCTCTGTGTTCCTCAATTAACTTAGAACTTGTTGTCAGTACATCGAATTTGCCTTGACAATAATTGCTGGCTTATATTTGATGCCTTTTGTTTTTGGATTCAGGACAAAGCCACATGGAGGATCCTTTACAGAGGCTTGTGCAGTAATGGGCCGTATCCTATCCACTCTTTGTCCACTTCAAATTTCCAGAAGAATAATCAAGCTAAGGCATTTCTTGGACAACTTGTTCAATCTAATTTGTGGCACCATAGGTTAGGTCATCCCACCAATAATGTTGTCTCTCTGATGTTTCATAAAGCTAATGTACCTGTTCCCAAAACCTCATTACCTATGCTATGTCATACTTGTCTAGAAGGGAAATTTAGCAAGTTACCTTTTCCAAAACATGTCAAGAAGTCTGTCATTCCTTTTGAAACTATTCATACTGATTTGTGGGGTTCTGCACCATGTATCAGTTGATGGTTATAAAAACTACACCATCTTTATAGATGAATGTACCAGATATTGCTGGATTTTCCCCTTAATAAACAAGTCTGATTTGTTCTCTACATTTGTTGCTTTTCATTCCTTTGTTGTTACTCAGTTTTCTACCACAATTAAAATTCTTCAATCTGATAGGGGGGAGAGTATACCAGCCACAAATTGAAACATTTTCTTCTTGAAAAAGGCATTTCATATCAACTATCTTGTCCATATACCCCTGAACAAAATGGGGTAGCTGAGAGGAAGCATAGGCATATCATTGAAACCACTATCACCCTACTACAAACAGCCAAGTTGCCATGTCAGTTCTAGTCTTATACTTGTCAAATAGCCACCTATCTCATCAATCGAATGCTTACTGTTGTACTTCATCACAAATCTCCTTTTGAGATCCTATTTGGGACATATCCAATTCTTACACATCTTCGAATTTTTGGATGTGCCTGTTTTCCTCTCCTCAAACCATATAATAATACCAAATTACAAGCTAAAACTACAAAGTGTGTGTTCCTTAGGTATGCCACAAAATATAAAGGCTATCTGTGCTATCATGTGTCTACAAAGAAAGTGTTTGTTTCTAGGCATGTTATCTTTGATGAACAACATTTTCCCTACATAGAATTATTGACTACATCTTCCAACACAGTTTCATCACTACAAGTCTGTCCTAGTTTCAACTGTCCTGTACCTCTAGTTACTCCAGACAATAGAGTTGTCTCATTTATCCCAGAATCACCTCATCAACCTTCTCGTATATCTATTACTGCATCATCATCAGTAACATCTTCTGCCTTGGATTTACCTGCCAGTGTTCAGGATTCTGGGGGAACTGATCTATCCTTGGTTGAACCAGCTAGCTATAAGTTTGCCATTAAAGTACCTGTGTGGTTAGTAGCCATGAAAGAAGAAGTTAATGCTTTACATGCTCAAGGCACTTGGAGTCTTGTTCACTTACCAGCACACAAGAACCTGGTTGGATGTAAATGGATTTTCAAGATTAAGAGACACTCAGATGGGTCTATTGCCAGACAAAAAGCTCGGTTAGTTGCTAAGGGCTTCAGTCAAGAACCTGGATTGGATTATGGGGAGACTTTTAGCCTGTAGTGAAACCTACTACAGTATGGTTAGTTCTTGCTCTTGCTGCACATTTTAATTGGTCTATTCGCCAATTGGATGTTAAAAATGCATTCCAGCATGGCATCCTACAAGAGGAGGTCTACATGTCTCAACTTCCAGGTTTTGAAGATCCAACCCATCCTCATCTCGTGTGTAAGCTGCTTAAATCTTTATATGGTCTCAAACAGGCTCCTAGGGCCTGGAATGAACGATTTACTCAATTTCTTCCTTCTTTGGGATTTGAGAACACATATTCTGACTCATCTTTGTTTGTTAAGCATGTTGGTCATGAAATTGTGGTGTTGCTTCTTTATGTGAATGACATCATTATAACTGGCAATGCTTCTGGTGCAATTACACAGATTATTAGTGCTCTCACCATTGAGTTTGATATCAAGAACTTAGGCTTACTCCACTATTTCTTAGGGATTCAAATCACTAAGACTACAAATGGTTTGTTTCTGTCACAAACCAAATATGTTGAGGATTTGTTGGTTAAATCTGACATGCTTGAAGCCAAACCGTGTGATACACCATGTCTTCCTTACAACAGGTTACTCAAGGAGGATGGGGAACCTTATTCCAATCCTACGTTGTATAGAAGTACTGTAGGGGCTCTACAATACTTTACTTTTACACGGCCCGACATTGCTTTTTCTATGCACCAAGTTTGTCAGTTCATGCAGAATCCAATGGTGTCCCATTTTACTGCGGTTAAACGCATATTACGATATCTGAAGGGCACACTGCAATTTGGTATATCATATACTAGAGGAGATTTGCAGTTGAAGGCTTTTAGTGATGCTGATTGGGCAGGGGACCCTAATGACAGGAGATCTACTACTGGTTTGGTGGTCTTTTTGGGCAATAATCCGATTTCCTGGTCTTCTAAGAAGCAACAAACTGTTTCTCGATCCTCAACAGAAGCTGGATACCGAGCTTTATCGTTTACATCCGCTGAGTTGGATTGGATCATACAGTTATTAACTTTTCTGCACATTCCCTTACCTCGTGTGCCTGTACTCTTTTGTGACAATCTGTCAGCCATTGCCTTGTCTTTCAACCCTGTTCAGCATCAAAAGACCAAGCACATCGAAGTCGACGTGCATTTTGTTCGAGAAAGGGTATCACAGAAACAACTATCTGTGCAGTTTGTGTATTCTCAAGAGCAGTTTGCCGATATTCTCACCAAGGGCTTAAGTGGTCCTCTTTTCAGAACTCATTGCATCAATCTCATGCTTGGCTCATCAAAGCATGATCTTGATGGGGGATGTTAGAGTATAGTGCTTTAACATTGTGACACTTGTCACAATCTTACTGTAGTTAGTTAGTTAGCTGTTATATGTAACTATATATAAGAACTCATCATGTAATTACTTACTCATTAAGAAATATATCAGATTGTTCTTCTCTCTAGTCTTTTTCTCTCTATCTTCTCTGTTCTTGATTCAATATACAAGATTACAGTATATGTACAATAATTTGATATAGCTTAACAATAGCTAGTGGAGTGGGCCCCCCAAGAAGAAGAGAGATTTTTCAGTGTTCCTGTCACAACTAAAAATTTTCCCAAGAAGAGGTCTTGGCTCACAAAGCTGTGGGAGGGTTTGTAACCCAATGTGGGTGGAACTCAATCCTTGAGGGCATTTGGGCGAGAGTGCCGATGCTTTGTTGGCCTCGACTGGCAGAACAACTAGTGACTAGTAGATGGATTGGTGAGGTTTGGAGGATTGAAATTGATATGAAAGACACGTGTGAGAGATCCATGGTGGAGAAAATGATACTTTAGGTTTGCTCTTTTTGGACTTTGCAGATAAGCTGTTTGAGCCTCCACTGCCGTTGGATTTCAAACCACCTCCGGAGAAGAAAAAGTGCCCATCTTTGACAGGTCTGTTAACAATGAAAATAAGTGGTTAACATTGGACAGAGATCAATATTTCATTTATTTAGTACTAGAACACAACTCCTAAGTCAAAGTTACATTAATTCAGAGAATTGTTGTGCACTTGTATGTGAAAAGCAGAGGCAAATCAGAAAAGGATAGTTGAAGCTGGTGGTCTTACTTCCTTGCTGATGCTTCTTAGAAGCTTTGACGACGAAACTGTTTGAAGAGTGGCAACTGGTGCCATTGCGAATCTTGCAATGAATGGTGAGTGCTCAATGATCTATTCTTCTTTCTTAGAGTGCAAGGGTTTTTTCTGTAGTTTGAATGTTATTCCTTTTGGGTTGAGAAGTATCTATCTGACTTTAAAAATATTGGTTTTTAACGTTGCTTCCTCTCTGGATTTGTAGAAGCCAATCAAGAAATTATAATGCAGGAAGGTGGGATTAGTTTGTTAGCTACGACAGCTACTGAAGCTGATGATGTTCAAACCCTACGCATGGTTGTTGGAGCTATTGCTAATTTATGCGGCAATGGTATACTGCATTGTCTTTTCTTTACTTGTTTTATTATTAGAGCCTTTACCTTTTCTTTTGGTTATTCATTTCTTTTCTTTGATGGTCTTAAAAGAAATTATGTATAACTATCTGTAGTAATCGGGCATAAATGGCTTCATTGGCTTATTAGTGCATAATAAAAGTCCTTTTAAAATCTTTGAGGAAGACTCTTCTTTTCTATTTAGTTCCCGGGTTTATTATATACAATATATTTAAAATTTTTTACACTAGTCCCTGGAAACATGTCCATTTTCCAATTCTATGCATCAGAGGAAGGGTTTTCTGTTGTTTGTTCTTCATTTTGTCTATGTTTGCTCTGCATTTTTTCCCTAAATTTGAATATTTAAATCTTGCTTTGTTATTATTTTGTTAATATCCTCAGATAAGCTACAAATGAAGCTAAGGTCTGAAGGTGGTATTAAGGCGTTGCTAGGAATTGTGAGGTGTGGGCATCCTAATGTTCTTTCCCAAGTGGCACGTGGAATTGCTGACTTTGTAAAATGTGAATCACGAGCATGTACTCAAGGTAAGAGCCTTTGTCAGAAATATTCCATGAATAGTTCCCTTAGTATTATGGTGGAATGTCCGATTTAAGATTTTTACGTTTTTGGTGTAATGTCAATATGCTGACCTACTATAGGGATAAAGAATGGAAGATCTTTCTTGATAGAAGATGGTGCACTTCCATGGATTGTACAAAATGCTAATGATGAGGTTGTACCAATCCGGCGCCACATTGAGCTTGCACTCTGTCACTGAGCACAACATGGTAGGTGAATTTGTATGATCCTAGATAACATCTTTATGTCTTAGACTTTCTACTTATATACATTGGGTATTTATATCACATAGGTGAATGCCAAGTACATGATTAGTGGAGGTGCCTTCTGGGGAGAGATTTTTCAGTGTGAACCGTCACACGAAGTGGTACACTACGTGTCCCTATGTAAATGGTGGGTTATATGTGTTAAAAGGTTAATAACTTAAAAATTAAAATTTTCCACCACTTGCATAAAAACAAGTGGTGTACCATCCGTGTTCCCATCACAACTAAAAATTTCTCCCCTTTAGGAGCTAGTTAGAATTTCCCGAGACTGTTCATGAGAGGATATAAGGAGTCTTGCTCATCGAACTTTGAATTCAAGCTCGACTTTCCATGCTGAAATGCGACGGTTACAAATAGACTACTGATTAGCAAGCAGTATGATGGGGCTGCTCTTAATATATCTTATTGCCTCTCCAGTCAATGAGAGAGGCGCACACAAATTCGTGATGCTTCTGTATAGGCTTGGTCAAGAATTGAGTTTGGGAGGACGAAGCAGCAGTTCGGAAAGCTGAGATTGCAGCCCAGTTATCGGCCCAAGACTATAAGATGAGTATGATTTTATGGGCCTTACAGATGTCCGGCTTTCAAATCCCGATGCCATCACCTGATCTTGCTCTACCTTCAACCTCCCAACCACTTTGCCTAGTCGATACCCAACAGCCTGATGCATTAAGCCTAGAAGACTACTTGTTGTAGTTTTTTCTTTTATGTTTAAACATCTTGTATGTACATTTTCATATATTTTATAATTACATACTTTTTCTTGGTTTATTAATTATTGTTTAGAATTTAATTACAATATTTATTAAAAATTAAATAAAAAATATTTTTGCCAAAAAAAAAAACAAGGGTTTGCAAGAAGAAGTAACATGCGTCGCGCAAAGTGTCTTTGCGCAACACATGTCCTTCCGTCGCGCAAAACTCCTTTGAGCGACGCATGTCCCTCTGTCGCGCAAAGTGTCTTTGTGTGACAGATAACCTACGTTACGCAAAGAAGTTTTGCGCGACGGAGGGACATGCGTCGCACGCACAAAGATACTTTGCGTGACGCAAGTTACTTCTTCATCGCGCAAACCTTGCTTTCATTGCCTTGGCGTGCAACGAAGGTTTCGTTGGCTAATTTTCAAGCAACGTTTTTTGACTTTGCACGATGAAGGTACCTATATTGCGGAAACTATTTTTTGTACTAGTTAAAGGTGTTAGAGAGTAGAACCTCGAGGGAGGGCTTGAATCTCCTCTATCATGAATCGAAAAGTTGGGTCGTCCTTTAGAAGTCTGTAAAAATTTAGTAGATCCTTGTGTCGTAAAAGATCTCACATCTCCAGAAATTCGCTAACCATCTTTTCCATGTCCTCATTTTTTGATCATAGTAATTAAAATGACCTTTATTTAGTTTGATGTCCAAGTGGGTGTTAGAGGCAGAATGAAACCACAAAACACATAATCTTCTAATCGAAATGGATCTCATATATAAAGTGCAGACTCTCTATTAGGGAGGGCATTATTTTTGGGTATTTAAATAATATATTAAAAAAATATTCTAATGAACATGAATATAGTCTTTTAGGTTTGACGGAAAACGAAAAAAAAGTCTTCAGTATGTCATTTTATTCCATGCATGTTTGTATTCATTCCGATATTATTCCAATAAAAGAACACATGCATGTTCATAAGACGACTATAATATGTGTACATCTCCAGAAGAGTTTTCTTTGAAATACTTTAGGAATGTGATATCTCAAATTTTTAGAGTGAAATCAATGTAATAATTATACTAAAATAAAGAAAGAATAATGCATACCTCCAAAGGGAAGCTGACCTTGTTGAATGAGGTCAGGAATGTAAGACAATGACCAGGTGCCACCAGCGCTGATGGCCTGCTGAGCCATCACGGGAATCCCCATCTCCTCCGCCACGTCGATTGCAAAGCTCATACGATCATATCTGTTATCAATACAACCCAAAGAAGGAGGACGGCTAATAGTAGTAGAGTCACAGGACTCGTCGTCGTAGTTTCTGCTTTTGGTTAGGGAAATAAGCAGCTCACGCAAAAGCGTCTTCGTTACGGATCTGAGTGACGAAATCATGCTGATGTGGATTAAGGGGTTACCGATGCGTGGATCAGTGGGAGGCTGTCCGGGAGTGACCGGAAGTGGAGAGTTGGAAAGCGGGCGGAGAGGGCATGGAGTTGGGGGAGGCGGCGGTGGGGTGTTTTCCGTGCTGAGGAAGGTGACATGGATACCAGCATGGCAAAGCAGTTGTTCGAAGTTTAGCATTGGGGTGACGCGACCTAGTGCTGGGAGCGGTAACAAGAGTGTGTGTTTGCTCCATCTTCTTCATTGTATCTCGATCTTGGTGGATGGGATATATAGTTTTCTTCTGCAAGGATTGATCAGATGCTTGGCTTTTTATACGATAAAAAAGGTTGTCACGTTAATTATAAACCTTAGATTGTGTTATTATTGTCATCACCTTTGGGAAAAGCAGTGCATTAATATTAATAATAGTAACACAATGCCAGATTTACTTTACTCACCAAATCTGTATGCATTGACTTCGTGATTTTGTAAAAATATACCTTATTTATTTGTCAATCCTTCTCACGCCCACATATTTCTGCCTTTTTATAAAAAAATAAATGTTAAAGATCGACAATTGTGACATACTTACCGTTACTCTTTTATTGGCGACCCCACTATATATATGATTGCCAATCCTTTCTCGAGTTATAATTGAGAAGTCATTCCAACCTCATATGTGTATACATATAGACACAGTCACACAGTGCATGTACGGATGCAGATGGAGATGGAGCGATCTGAATCTGCAGCACACGTATTATTGTTGCCGTTCCCAGCACAAGGCCACATCACTCCGATGCTGAGCTTTGCGCAGCTGCTATGCCACGCTGGCATCCATGTCACCTTCCTCAATACAGAACACAACCACCGTCTCCTCACCCAACGCCATGCCCTCTCCGCCCGCTTCCCAACCCTCCACTTCGAGTCTCTACCCGATGGCCTTCCACCAGACTGCCCCCGCTCCATTCCCCCCTTAATCGACATGGTCTCGTCGCTCAGGTCCGTAACCAAGCCACTTCTGGGTGATCTGCTCATAACCCTAACCAAAAAGGACGAAGAGTCGTAGGGCTCCACCACCACTCGCCGTCCTCCTTTGAGTTGCGTCATAATGGATGAGATTATGTGTTTCGCAATTGATGTGGCAGAGAAGGTCGGCGTTCCCGTCATGGCTATCACCATCATCAGCGGTTGTGGCTTCTGGTCTTACTCCTGCATTCCAAATCTCATCCAACAAGGCCACCTCCCCTTCACAGGTCACACACCCTCATTCTTCTCTCGTTTCTTTTCCAAATTTCTTTTTACTTCAATTAAATTTTAAGAAAATTAATTTTTAATCCTTGTATTAGTTTTTGAATAAAACCTTGTTTAAAATTAAAAATTCATTTTAATCCTTGGCATTTAATTGTAATAATAATTATTGAGTTTCTTGTTTGTAGGTTATATATTGATTCCCATAAATAATAAAAATGTTATTTATCATTGTTCCCACAATAAGAAAAGTCATATATTATCATATATTTTTCATTGTGCATGAATTTCTCCATATATATGTACATGCATATTACGTACATATGTATGTTTAGATACTATAGTTACGTACCGACACATTTGTATAGATACATTCATACCGAAACTTACGTACTGATACTTCTGTACCTATTAGTAAAATAAGGTACCTAAAACTATGCACCGATACATTCGTACCGAAACTTATGTACCAATATTTCCGTACCTATGAATAAAATAAGGTACCGAAAGTTATGCATAAATTGCTTTTGTTTTGTTGTTGAATTTTTTAAATAATAATAATTTGAATTTTGAATGAATTTGTATCTATTAATATAATTGAAGCACAAAAAATTAAAAACATTAATTATGAATAGGTAAAGAATTTTGAATGGTAAGTTTATAAATAATAGGGGCATTTTGATACAGGCGCCTCGTTTTTTAATTTTTTAGACGAAACATACACTCCTTTTGAAAATTTGATCAAACATTTTCCTAAAATTTTGGTTATTAATTTCAGTTCCTATTATCCCTATTATCACTATATTTATGCATTTATTATCCATCTCCTGGGCATTTCGTTTTTTTTCTTCCTATTATCCCTATATTTATGCATTTATTATCCATCTCTATGCATTTTTTATTGTTTTTTTATAATATTTACTTCTTCTTTTTTTTGTGAATATAGTAGAATATTTATAAAAAAAATTGTCAAATTTTATTATTTAGAAGACCCAACACATAGTAAAGATTTGTTTGATTATATACCTACGTCTAGTTACCTATAATATGGACACATTTAGTTTTATAGTGGATTTGATTTTTTGTATTTCTTGGTACATTTGGAATGTAAATGTACCAAAAGGGTTATCTGATAGAGGCATTTGGTTTTGTGGTACATTTGAGATTTTGTTCATTTGGTCTTTTGGTACAATAGGAATCTAAACGTACCAACAGGATTACCTAACAATGGACACATTTGGTTTTATGGTACATTTGAAATTTTGGTACATTTGGTTTCTCTGTATATTTGAAATCTAAACGTACCAAAAAGGTTATATAACAATGGGTACATTTGGTTTTATGGTACATTTGAATTTTTGGTTTTATGTGCTATAATTACTTAAATATGGTAAGTTTTAAAAATAAGGACTTATAGTAGATTTTAAAAACCATTCAGGTTAAAATCTAAAAACAATCTTATTAAAGCCCTAAAATCTAAAAACCCCTTAAATTTTTGCTGGAGTTGGACATCGTGATGCCACGTGTCAAAACGATAAGACCATCTCCAACCCTTGGGTTAAAAGCTAAATTTTTTTTTTGGATAAAAATATAGAAGGTTAAATTTTTAGTCCGACATCATTAAAGAATGAGTTTAGGATTCTTAAAGTAACTTTTAAAAAAAATAATTATGTAGACTACCCTAATTTAATTTTATGAACATTTTAACCTCAAAATATTTAGATTCCGATAAATATTGAAAAATTACTAAGCTGACACCATGAAACTCGTGGAACACTGAAAAAAAAATATGAAACACATACAACAGATTCTTTTAATTACTTTAGCTATTGAATTTAAATTTGGACCATTAGATTTTTTTTTTACTGTTGGATTTGTTCATATTAGATCTTAGCCGTTGGATTAAATGAATTTATAAATATAAATTAAAAAAAAATACACATATATGATGAGCCAATCCCACTAACCCAGGAGAATCTTGGCCTAAATTTGCCCCAGAAATGAGTTATGGGTTAAAACTCATATTTTTCCCAAAGGTTGGAGCAAGTTGGGGTCAATTTAAAACATAAAATTTGAGTTTTACTCCAAAGGTTGGAGTAGGTCTAAGGGTTTTAAGGGTACGTAACCCTAAAAAAAATCAGCATCGATAATGATATATATGTAGTGCTAGCTACATGTCTACAATAATGAGCAATGTTACACTTATTATATTTTGTATACCACATTCGTATCACCTTTCTAATAGAGATAGAGCTCATTAACATGTAAGTATCATCTCTATCAGAAAAGTACAAATAGAAGATGTTTAGAGTAGCAGTTTTGATATCATATGACATGATTATTATTCATTTAGTGGGATGAAGAGTTCAAACCTCTTTTAGAATAGTCGTTAATCAAAATATAAAGTACTATATTGCTGCTTGACGACAAAATCTTGCAATTCTTTGTTCTTTATTTTTACGATATGTCAATTGAGAGTTGGGCAAGTGAGAATCAAAGAGTGGCTACTAAAATTAGGAAGACAAATTGTGTATTTCACTTGCTTCATTTCGTCAAAGATTAAAATTTGATGATTTGTCTCATTAACAAAATAAAGAAAATATATGTCGTGTCTTGCGATATTTATAAACATTTACATTCATCAAATGGAATGAGGATCTTCTTTGGATTCTCTTTGTGAGGATTTCGAGGATTCATAAATCATGTCTGTTTATCGTACATCGTGTCGTCAAAAATTATTTTAAATTTTTTTATTTAAAATTGAATACAAATAGTAACTGACGAAAACTGACCGTACGATGTACGATGAATGGACACGATTTATGGATCCCTAGGATCCTCACAAAAAGGATCCGAAGAGGATCCTTGTTCCATCAAATGAACTTATTTTGTTGTGACTAGTAGCATTTTTTATAGGGAACTTTAACGAAAAGCTCCCGGTACTATTCACTTTAACGAAAAACCACATTTATACTAAAAAATCAATCCTGGTACTATTCACTTTACCATTTATTTTGTCCTTATCTTTAAAACTCAAAGTTTTCAAGTCATTTTCATTAGTTTTTTTTATTTTTTTTATATGGAGGCAGATTGTTTGCCCTCCCAATACCATACCCTTCACATCTCCTCATTTTTGTGCGGTCACGGTTAAGATACTTCAATATTTTATATTTCTATTATTTTTTATCTTATCATCTCAATAAAAAAAACCAATATAAAATATTGACATGATTTAACCGTGATTGCACAACACAGAAAGAAATGGAAAGAGTATACTAAAAGGAGGGCAGACAATCTACCTCCTTACTCCTTTTTATACCGAGAATATAAATAGGTCTCACATATACCGGTATACGTGGTACAATTCTTCCTGGCAATTTTATTTTATTTTATTTTTTCAAATGAAGTCTATTTCATATTTTTACTAGCGTGAGTAGTCATGCAAAATGTACTTCTAAGTTCTAACTTTGAAACAGATAAAGATATGGATAAGCAGAGTAGAGATATTCCCGGGATGGAAGGCCTTTTACGGCGTCGAGACCTACCAGGCTTTTGCAGATTTTCAATTGACCACCCAGTTACTAAAATTTTAATGGAAGAGACCAAAGCTATTACTCGTGCTTCTGTTTTAATAATCAATACCTTCGACGGCCTCGAAGCCTCAATTCTCTCGCACATAGCCACACTTTTCCCCCAAGTTTACGCAATAGGTCCCGTCCACGCTCTTGTCAAATCTCGCGTTGGCGATGGCCTGTCATCCTCTGCCTCTTTGCGCCAAGAGGACCGTCGTTGCACGGCGTGGCTGGACTCCAAACAAGTGGGATCTGTTATATATGTTAGCTTTGGCAGCTTGGTGAAGCTGACACATGACCAATTGTTTGAATTTTGGCACGGCTTGGTCAGTTGCGGGAAACAATTTCTATGGGTGGTGCGGTCAGATATGATTTCGGGGAAGAAATGAGAACACGTGATTCCAACGGAGCTGAAGATGGGTACCAAAGAGAGGGGTCTTATAGTGGAGTGGGCCCCCCAAGAAGAGGTCCTGGCTCACAAAGCTGTTGGAGGGTTTTTAACCCAATGCGGGTGGAACTCGATCCTTGAGGGCATTTGGGCGGGAGTGCCGATGCTTTGTTGGCCTCGGCTGGCGGAGCAGCTGGTGACTAGTAGATGGATTGGTGAGGTTTGGAGGATTGGAATTGATATGAAGGACACATGTGAGAGATCCATGGTGGAGAAGATGATAAGGAGATTGATGGAAGAAGGTGATGAAAGAGAGCAAATTTTGAGGTCGGTGGAAAGATTTTCTAAGTTAGCTAGGGGTGCTGTTGTTGAATATATCATTCCAGCTCAGCAATAGTTAGTTAGGTTGTTATCAAATTAGTTAGTTAAATAGCTTAGACTGCAAGCTAGTCATGATGGCTATATAAATTGTATTCTCAGAGTTGTAAAAATCAATTCAGTATCAATGTAACCAATTACTGTCTCTCTCTCTTATTCCCTTTTCTCTCTTCTTCTTCGGTACATTCTCTTTCTGCAACTCTTCATTTCTGTTAACATGGTATCAAGAGCCAACCGATTCTTGGTTCTCATTTCCGCTGTGCAAATCTTCTCGATCAGTTGAAGCTTGATGATGGTTGCAAATTCTCAGTGTTTTCTGCTCAAAGGGTCGAGGGTTTCTTTCATATCAGGTTCTTTGTTTCTGTTTTCGCAGTGCACACCATCTGTTTGTGTTAATGTCTTAGTGAAGATTTTTCTGTGCATCTTGTAAGTATCAAGGCCGATAGCCGTATACTTACTTTTTCAAGGCCGATAGCCATTGTTAGATCAAGATTTATTGTGTTAATCCCCACCGCCCTCCGCCAACGGCACAACCACAGCTGGGTTTCCCGGAACTTCCTGGTTTGAAGAAGCGAGTTTTCGTACAAGCTTGGATGTTCGAATGCGTTTTCTGGGTTTTCAAGATTCAAGTTCTCAGGTTTTGTTTTCGATTACTGGTTTTCTTTCCAGCATATCAACTGTTTGTGATAATGTCTCAGTGAGAATTTTCTTGGTAATTTCGGAAGTGTCAAGGCCGATAGCCGTCGCGTCCATTGTGGCTGCATTGAATAGTCTTATTGCTTCACGAACATGCTTCTCAGTAGCTTCGTGGCGCAGTTGCATTTTTGCAAGGGCCTCACTCAACCTCACTATAGCTTCAAGCTGCCTTACGGTGATTGGCACTGCTGCGGCCTTCCCTGTTTCATTCGCTAGCTGTCTCATGTCCTGTCTGATTTTCACGTAATTACTCTGCAGCTCTCTCGATGCAGTTTCTGATAAGCGGGGGTGACATTCAGTTCGACAATATTGTATGTACCTCTTCAGCCAGTTCTCTTCTTTAGAAACTACTCTACCGTCACCCAGTGTTGCACCAGCAGACGCATGAACCTTTATGATATGACTCGCTATAGTCTTATCCTAACTGTACATTTTGATATCTTTAACAATGAAGATCAAGTCAAGTCTCGAAAGAATTGTCTTACTAAATCGCTGGAATTGGAAAGGCTTGTAGGGACAGGAGGTCTTGAGAATTGTTGATTGTATTTTCCTAAGGCCGATTGCAGGGATTTTATGTTGTCTAAAAGGTTGTCTGTTATTGGGTTTTCTGTGATATTGTATCTTGCAACTCCATTAAGGCCGATTGCCGGAGTGCAGTTCTTGTTCCCTTTCTTCATTGAAGGCCGATTGCCGAAGAGGGTTGTGGTTCTTGATTTTTGTGATTGTACACCAAGAAGGATTTCATTATTCTGCATTTCTCAAGCACTCGTACAATCTCAAACTGGACATCCCAGTTGAGATTGAGGGGGGATGTTGAATATATCATTCCAGCTCAGCAATAGTTAGTTAGGTTGTTATCAAATTAGTTAGTTAAATAGCTTAGGCTGCAAGCTAGTCATGATGGCTATATAAATTGTATTCTCAGAGTTGTAAAAATCAATTCAGTATCAATGTAACCAATTACTGTCTCTCTCTCTCTTATTCCCTTTTCTCTCTTCTTCTTCGGTACATTCTCTTTCTGCAACTCTTCATTTCTGTTAACAGCTGTTACTGAAGGTGGGTCTTCATACAACAACCTGGACAAACTTATTCAAGACTTGAGAAACCTTTGATGATGTATGATATAATATTAAAGGGAATGGCTAGGATGAAAGACTTTTATGGAACGAGATCGATGTTATAACTCTCCAAATTACTAATATAATGTTGTGTAAGGGCTTGTTTGGTATTGATGTGCTTAAAAAAAAAAAAACTGCTTATGCTATACTGTGAGAATAAATAGCTGTAAAATAAAGTTGTTGAATATTTGGTAAATTTTTTTATAAGTGTGGTTGAAACAAAAAAAATAATGTCTGAGTGTATGGTAAACTTTGATATAAAATTGTTGTGAATATGTTAAATGACTAAAAATAATATATTATTTAATGTGATATAATAATTGCCAAAGAGAACAATGCAGGGGCAAAATATTGTAATTTTGCAAAATACGCAGGGTATACATGCCATTTGAAAATTTCATTAAATGGGCATTGTTCACTATGCTTTGAAAAAATACACTATTATAAACATGGTAGACCTTGCTTCAACTTCATTTTCCATGCCCTTCTACTGTCATTGACAACAATTTAAAAAAAAAAAACACTTTTTTTTTTCTTTTACCAAACACATTTGATATTCTAATTTTTTTTTAATAAGCTATTGTTTTTAAAAGCACCATAACTCCAAACCAACCTTAAAAGTCTTTTCATATGATTTTGTCTAAGTGTTGCTAATGCTCAAAATTTGTAGGTTAACAATCTTAACAAAATTAGCTCTTGGTGGGCTTGGAATTGAAACTGAAATGAAATGGACTTGGGATTTAAGTGGTTTACTCCTCTGCGCTAGGCTGTATCCACAAGTGGAATCAAAACTGAAATGAAATGGACTCATGATTTAAGTGGTTCACCCCTTAGCGCGGTAGTTGCATTTACTATGTTGCTTAGATTATATTGATTTCAAGGTTACAAATAGCGCTCGGCATATCCTTAGACTCTACCCAAAAAAAGAATTATAGAGTGAGGTTACTTGAGTATTTGAGATGTATATCATTTTGTTATATTTTTGATATAAAACTTTTTCTCTAACATAGATGCACCTATTTTTTCATTTATTTATTTATTAGTAAAAAAATAAATATCATACATATTCTTCACCTTGTGAAGTAAATATGCCTTGAAAACTTTCTTAAAAGTTAAAACTCCATAATTGCTATTGGGATTTTGTTATCTTGGATATGCATGGCTTTTGATAAAAGGTTGCCACATTATTATAACACAATCTATGGCTCATAACGACGTTACAACCTTTAAATTTACATAAATCAAAGATAGAATTACAGTGTCAGTTAACTTAATTGCGAATTTGAGATGAACATGGAGCAACAAAATCAACCACTACACGTACTAATGTTGCCATTACTGGTAAGGCCACGTCACTCTGATGCTCATCTTGGCACAGTTATTGTGCCACGTTGGCATCCACATCACCTTCCCCCACACCAAGCACATCCATCGTCGCCTCAACCAATGCTATCCCTTCTCTGCCCCCTTCCCGACCCTTCGCTTCGAGTCAATCCCTGATAGCCTCCGACGAATCATCCACGCACCATTCCCCCCATAATCGAGATTGTCTCGTCACTCAAACTCGTAACGAAGCCTCTTCTGTGTGACCTCCTGATCCCTAACCAAAAGAGCCGACGAGTCGTACGACCTTACTTGCCTCCTTTGAATTGTATGATAACAGATGGGAATATGCGTTTCGTGGTTGTGTGGCGAAGGAGGTGGGGATTCCTGTAAGGGTAATGTTAGGGAGACTAAATTTTTGAATTAAAGTTTGTAAACCAAATGATATAGATGTTAATGATTGGATGATTACTTAAGTATTGATTAACGTGCCTATTTTTTATCGTTAACAAATAATTTGATTTGCAAATTGGGTTTAAAAATTTGATATCCCTAACATTATTCTTCCCGGCTATGCCAGTCCTTAGCGCGAGTGGCTTCTGGTCTGCTTTATGCGTTCCCGACCTCATTCGCAAGGTCAGCTTCCATTTGCAGGTGAGCCCTATCATGCATGCATCGTTATATGTCAATCAATTTGGAATCATACCAGCATGCATTGTTACGTGTCGACAGGGCCGGTCCAGGCCCAATGCTACCAGATCGCCTGTCCAGGGCCCAAAATTGGTTGGGAGCGTTTTGTTCACCATCACTTCGTCTTCCCGTCTTCGACTTGGACGCATCGTAGCCTTGGTTCTTTAATATGTATTCCAATTCCAAGAATCAAATTCCATGTTTCAAGCCTAAAGCCTTTAATTTAATTAGAGGATTATAAATCATCAGTTCTTTAAGAACAAAGAATGTCTTCCAGATTTTTCAGAATTATATGCTTGTACCGTTGTTGTTCGAATTCCAGAATTTCAAAGGAATTCGAGTTCCAAAATTTCAGTTGGTCGACTCAGTCCAGTCAACCTTTTCCTGGTTTTGCTTCCTGCTTCGGAGTTCGGACCTTTGGTCCTTCCTGCTACTTCGGTGCTTCCTGCTGCCAGCCGGACAGTTGGCAATCTGCTGAGGTTGATTGAGCCTTCGCATTGGCCCCCTGCCACTGCCAGAAGGCCCAGACAGACCACTGAGACCAGACCCACACGGGCCACACCCGTGGCCCCAGAGTGACACATTCTTGCCCAGATTAAAGAACCATTTTTATTTTCTTCAGTTTTATCAATTTTTTGAAGTTGGTTTTGCTTTTTACAAATAATTTTAATCTTACATATTAGTTTTAAGGGTTAATATTTGTTTACTACCTTGACATTTTGTGGTTTTCAACATTTGGTACATGAAGTTTTTTTTATCCCAGAGTCATAGCTCAAGTCTTAATTTTGGGACAGTTTCATACATCCGTTAAGTTTTCCGTTAGAAATTCTGTTAACTGATGACGTGGCGCACACGTGGACAATAACTGAGCGCCACATGTCAATATGGGCCCAATTCAATGTTAAAAAAAAAACACAAAAAAAAAAACCAACCTTCCCTCAACCCACGCACCATCTCCCTCCCTTCTTTCTTCTGCAAATCCCAGCACCCCACCCAAATCCCATCTCCCTTATACTACCCCTCGAAAAATTCTGACTCGTTGGGAGGTGGCGGCAGGACGCGCACGAAGGTTGCGAAGGCTAAGTCGTGGTTGCCGGTGAGGAAGACGTGCTTCTGATTCGGTTTCCTAGAGGGTCAGGCCAGGCTAGGCCAGGTCATTGATGTCGTACATGACCTCCGCAAGTGTCTCAGCAAAGGGTCGGCCATTGATGACTGCTTCATGGGCCCTTCGAACCCTGGCAGCCGTCGTGAGCTTAATGGCTTCTGTGATTTTTTGGGTATTTTTATGGAATCGATTCGGACTCAAAGTTTACGTAGACCGCAACGGGTTGTTGAAGATCGAGAACGGATAGGTTGGGGTGAGATTTGGGGCAAAAGGGGTTTAGGGTTTTGTTGAAATGTGTTGGAAAATAAGGGTTTTGCAGATACCCACATGATTGAATTGGACATCGCCATTGGGTTCTGGTTTTTGTTTTGCAGAAATTATGCGAATTCAAAATCTCTGCAAAATACCCAATTGGATTGAAGCTTTACGAAAGCATCAAAATCTCTGCAATCTGATTCACCATTGGAGATAGAACCGAATCTGGGTATTTTCACGGTGTAGAGCTCAGATCCGTTCACAATCAAGCTATTGCAGAAAAATGCTTGAGGTTTGGACTTGCAGGCGGCATCGTTGGCCAACATCCATAAGTTCTGGTAGAAGTTGGTGACCTCGGCGAGGATCAGGAGGGAGAGAATTGTGGCTGTGCTGTGCGAGGCGACGCAGCGGCATGTAAGGAAGATGAAGAGTGGATGAGGACGACGACATGGGTGCTGTGGGTGAGGAGAACAGAGGCGTGGAATTGGAGAAGGGAGGGAAATGGGTGAGGGTTGCAGAAGAGAGAAGGGAGGGAGAGGGTGCAGGGGGTGAGTGATGAGTAGGATATATATATATATATATATTTTTTTTTTTGTGTTTTTGTATTTTTAAAATTTTTTAATATTGAATTGGGCCCATGTTGACACGTGGCACTCAGTTATTATCCACGTGGGCGTCACGTCATCAGTTAACAGAATTTCCAACGGAAAACTTAATGGATGTATGAAATTGTCCCAAAATTAAGACTTGAGGTATGACTATGGGATGAAAAAAACTTCATGTACCAAATGTTGAAAATCACGAAATTTCAGAGTAATAAATAAAGATTAACCCTAGTTTTAATTTCGTAATAGAATTGCAAATCTACAAAACAGCATACTACAACAATCGTGTGTCGTATCAAGATTGCAAAAGCATTAAAGTTTGAGACTTTGAGCACAAACTGACAAGTAGGTGATTTCTATAATATATGTTGAAATTTAATTGATGTGTTGAGGACTGGGAGTATGATGATATAATTGATGATTTTGTTTAAAAAAAATGGAAGAAGGCAATTTCTTAAAGGTTGAAATTTCAAGGAGTTTTGTTAGGGGTTGTATATAATTTTAGTTTTGCTTATCGCAGTGTAGGTACCATGTCCATTTTGTTGAATGTTTTTTTTTTAAAAATAATATAATTTAGGCATGAAGGCCTAGTCCCTTAGCTTCAACTAGTTCCACCCCTCCTAAATATGTTTTTTTATTTTTTTATTTTTAAAATATATGTTCTTGTATAAAAAAATGGCACATTTTGAGCTTTCGCCCTGGGCACCTAAAACTCAGGACCGGTCCGGTGTCTCAATCTTATAATTTCTGTCTGAAAAGTTTGCATTTGTTTCATTGTTGGGCAATTTTTTTTCATAAAAAATTTCAAACAACCATGTTAATTAAAATTGGCGGCATATTGTTTGACGTAAAAATATTTGGGCAATTGGCTGTTATAGAATAAAAACAAAAGGAGTACGTAGTAGAAATTGCAACCTACATTGCTGGCATAGAACATTTTAGGGTGGGGAAATATCGAATAGTCCCTGGTTATAAGTCCTGCAATCCCATTCCCTCTTTCACTATAGCCCAGCCGCTCCAAGATCCAGAGTTCACGACTAAATCGCGAAAGGAGAAGGTGACGGATTCTGAGTGGTCGATCCACGAATTAAAGGTGCTGATGAATCTCAACAAAGAAGCTGCGAGTCTCAAGGACGTTTTGGATCTTATCAAGGAATTTGGGGACGGCGCCGGCTAGCTCGCACTCTGTTTCAGCATTTCGAACAAATTCCAATCCGGCATTCCAAAGTGTGAAAATCTCAAACACTCGAGTGTACAAAATTTTGAATAGCTTTAAATATTATTGTCAAACCCTAACTATATGTGATCGATAAGTTTCAGTTCGTTTTTTTTTCTTTCCTTTTTTGCATCTACTTTTCCAGTTTTGGCTGCTTTGATTCTTCCAGCAGTAATCAAGCAGTGACAACTAGTCATTCTCCAAATCTGCATGAGAGCAAGGTGCTTGAGAAATTCATGGAGGTTCTAGAATATGGCTGACAACAATAAAACAGTGAACATACAGACAGCGTATCTAACACATACTGATAAACATAACGACCTCTATTGACAATTGCCTATTACCTCACAATTTTATCAACATATAGACTCTATATCTGTGACATACCAACAATATCTACACTATATAAATACTATGTATCTGCTGGAGTATTTTAGACAATTCATTATAGGGGTGTGATATCCACACACCCCATTTTACTTCTCACACACCTTTAAATTTTCGGCCGTAGGTTTAGATGAATTAAAGAAGATCAACGGATAGAAATTAGCAAGGGTTGTGTGAGAAGTAAAATGGGGTGTGTGGATAGCACACCCCTTCATTATATCAATATTATGGCATTCGTGTCATTTATGTCTATCTTTTTATTTTGGCAAAACATGTGTAATGTTTCTAAAACAGCTAATTTCCCAAAAATATTTCAATATATTTCCATACCAGGTGATTCATTGTACAACATGTGCTTTTAATGAGAGGTCCATTAATAGGGAGAAATTTTAGCACAAGAGTTTGACCTTACTAAAGTGGAAAATTGTTTTCATTGGCCTTTAGTTGAAGAGAATTTTTTTTATTACTAGCTAACTTGTGTTAGAAAGTAAACACCCATCACCATATGTCAAAATAAAAAGAGGAAATTTCATTTGAACTCATTTAACCGATCTCTACATTTAGCTTACTCTTTATATCCATATTAATTTTTTTATCAAACTACTAATATCTCTTAAACCCAAATTTACTACCAATAATACCCTCACAAACTCAATTCAAAATGCAAATTTAACTTTACACCCATGTTTTCACATTAGAAGCTACCCGGATCAGTCTCATGAAAATCCATGTTAATTAAATCCATTAATCTAATTAAACACAATTGTCATGAGAGTCAAACCAAATTAACCAAACACTATAATTAGTTCAACAAATGCATGCATAATTTGCAAGCCGACTTGCAGTACTAGGAATAACAGCTAGCAAGCATGCACGAAAGTTAGAAACTGAGAAATAGAAACTCTTTCAGAATATATAAAATAAAATAATAATAATAAGATTACATGACTAATTATAAACACTCAACAATGCACAAACAAATAAAATAATAATAAGATCACATGACTAATTATAAACACTCAACGGTGCATAAACAAAATGAAATGAAGTGCAATGATTATCATGTTCTCACATGTTTGCAGTGCATCTACATAGCAAGACTACTAATTAGATATGAGTAACATCTGAATGTGTTAATTAAAGAATTAAAATAACTTTAATTACTTAATTAAAAGGGATAGTTAAAAGTGAAGAAAAACACTTGATTTAGAACTAGGTGTTGATCTTGATCAGCTGCTGCTTCTTGTTTTGGCAGCAGTAGTAACAGAAGTAAAAGTAGGTTTTCGGCAAGTGATGAGTAGTGTTGGAGATGTTTATGGTTTGATTATTGGGTGGGTTTATTGATAAATTTAATATTTATTGTTAATTTCATCTTGTACTTAATGATAATTATGCAATAGGATAGTAAAGATAATTTATATTTAAAATATAAATTGGGTGTATAAAGAGGTTATATGAGTTCAAATAAATTTTCCCAATATAAAATTAAAGATTGACCTAAATCAAATTCACTTATTAAGAAAGTATCCAACTTTGCTCAAAAAGAAAGTATCCAAATTACACATTCAATAGCTTAAAAATAAAATAAGTACAATAAATTTGCAGATTAGCACAAACATGACCCCTTTTTTTACTGGATTACTAACGAGTCCATTCATTATCAACACCGCATGTTAAGGCTCAACCTAAACACTAATTTTTTTTTCTTCTTTTTTTTACTTATTACCGTCATATTAACTGACGGTGGATGATTTCTCTAGGTAATTCTTGTGTTGTACGTTAATTCCAACTTCAAAGCAAGGTCTAAAATATTGATATTATCCCGATATTTTCGTCGAAATTTTCGTGTTTTTGGACTACGAATATTTCCGATATCATCGATATTTTAGACCTTGATAGGAACTCTATGTGGTACTAAGTCACTCATGTATCTTACCATGCAATGTATAAAGTGTAAAATATTGTACTAATTCATTATATATAAATGATTATGGTGTGTTTAAACTTCTTTCATTAATTACTACATATTTTCTACACTTACAATGTTTGCCAGCTCGCTATATAATCAATTTAAATCAGTTAAATCCATTATGCAATGCATTTCCTTCCAATTTTTTGTGATAAACTAATAGATAGTTGACTAAATAAACATCCTGCAAAGTTTCAATAAAAATTTCGAAGTTTTTCTTGCAATTTCCGTGGTTTTTATTCAATTTTTATCGATATCGATAATATCTCGATATTTCCATCGAAATTTCCGTGTTTTTGGATTAACGATATTTCCGATATCATCGATATTTTAGACCTTGCTTAAAAGCTATACATATACATATGCATAAAAAGAAAAAAAAAAAAAAGCTCATTTTAATTACTTTGCTCAATAGTTGTAGATATAGATCAGAATTGTGGATGCAAATTTTTGCCGTCTCTTGCTTTGACGAAAATGCATCTGTAAAATAATAACACCTTCAATTAAGGTCAAAAGCCTCATGCGCCCACGATGAATTTGTTAGGGGTGGGAAGAAGGTCTTTGATCGAAGAATCTCCGATGTCAAAGTTAGTATTCTGAAAAGAATATAATTTTAGGAGTTTGTGGGTAGCAAATAACTTAACATTTTAGTGAAATAAGTAAGGTACTTCTAGAAAGGTGGCCGTCCACTAGGGTTGGGAATGGCTGGTCATATATGGTGAAATTGGTGGAGTAATTCAAGATATTATGTCAAATAATATCTTAAAGTTACTATGACAATTATTCTAAATTGAATAAGGGATTTAAGGAGTTACCCTGTTTTCAAATTCTTCATGGAAGAGACGTCGCAAGCCATTACTCGAGTTATAGCTCTCATAATCAACACCTTCGACGACCTCGAAACCTCTACACATTTCCACATCGCCATTCGTTTTCCCCAAGTTTACACAAACAGACCTCTCCACGCTCTCTTCAAATCTCGTGTCGGGAGCGACTTATCATCTTTGGCCGCGTCTTTGTGCCAAAAAGATCATCATTGTATGAGAGATTTTTTAATGTGCCCGGAACACATATGGGCTGGTACATCACTTGTACAAGTGGTGAAATATTTGTGTTAAAAAATTAACACCTTAAAAAGTAAAACTTTCCTCTACTTATATAACGATATGTCATGTACCATTTATCTTACGAGCATAATGAAAAATTTCTCATGACCAGGATCCGTTATTTTGTTAGCTTTGGCAGCATGGTGAAGCTGACACAAGAACAATTGTTAGAATTTTGGCATGGTTTGGTCAACAGTGGCAGGCAATTTCTGTGGGCGGTGCGATTAGATAAGCTTCGTGGTGAGCAAGGAGAGCTTGTCATTCCAGTAAAGCTTGAGGTTGGTACAAAAGAGAGGGTTTATAGTGGAATGGGTTCCACAAGAAGAGGTCCTAGCCCACAAAGCCGTGGGAGGGTTTTTGACCCACAGTGAGGTGAACTCGATCCCTGAGGGAATTTGGGCTGGAGTTCCAATGCTTTGTTGGCCGCAACTGGCGGACCAGCCGGTGATTTGTAGATACTAGAAATTATGTCCGTGTGTTGCTGCGGGATTGAAAATTATACGAAAGATTATGTTTAAAATATATAAAACATGGTGTTACAAAAGTTTAATGCTATTTACATTGAAAACGTTGAGTAGATTGTTATATCAAAAGATTTGACCACACAGGTAGCCCATGCGGCTTTGGATCGATATTAGTGCACTTACAAAAATTTATGAAATATTGTGCTGTTTCCCACTATTCAAATCGGTACATAATAGTTATTGATACCAGAGTTCAAATAACATTTGATTCTTCAATGTTTCACCCGTAAAATTCCAAATCCATAAACACAAAAACGCAGAACAAAGAAAAATTACCCATAAAACCGTGTGCGCGGGCATGCTTCTCTGACATCTTTTATCAAATAGGTGGTGGGCACTAAAGCATTCAATTCGACATAATCAAGCTCATCCACACTTGTTTATCTACTGAACAAAACATACACTATGAATATAAATGTTGTTTTTAAACTCGAATTGGACGCGTAAAATTACACTCTTTTAACATGTTTTGGAAATTTTATTTCATCAAGTGATTTCAAAATTCAACGAATTGAACAAATCATAATGGAATAGAAATATGAAAAATTACATTTAGAAGAAGTGGAAGACAAATTTACGTTTTTGGGTGTTGTGTTAACCCAAATGAAGGAATAAGCATACCATTGTAAGAATATGAACATGAGTTTTCAGTGAACTAGTATTAGCTATTTGGACCAATTAGTATAAGAAAGCCTTATAGGAAGATGAATGTGAGTTCTTGTTGATAGGGGAGTCTATCATAGTGGTGAACTAATGTGGATTAGGAGACATAAGTTGTTTCATGCAGGGATTTTAATAGGGAATCCTTATTGGATTAGGAGAGATATATGTCTATATATATTGTGACCTCTGCTCTCACAGATGCGCGTTTGATTAAGAACTAAGTCCTATTCTTGGTTAGAGCATAGATTCGTCTAACAGAGAGGAGAAGGATTGCAATGCACTGAGATTGAATGGCAGTAGCTATGGCGTCTTCCAATGGCAGTCCATCAGGTCAGTGGTATTGCAAAGTTCTTTACATATTTGTTTAAGAGTTTTTCATGCTTTCTTGTTTGTGATTTATGCGACTTAATCTTGTTCTTGGCGATATAAGTTTACATGTGGTATCAGAGCCTTAGGTTTAAGTTCTTAAATTCAATCAAGCAAGGTCGATTGAAACATTAAAAAAAAAAAACATTGAAAATCACCATAAAAGGTTTCGAAGCCGGTTCTAGGTCTCACAACATTTTTTATTCCTAAACAGTGCGTTTTTGGTAAAATAAGGTTAGTTAGAATATTATGACTGTTGGTATTCGAAATTTGTTCTGTTTTTTGGGGTTTTCTGGGTTTGTTCTTTTAGGAAGGAAGACTTTATCTTGTTCCTTTAATCCCGACCCATTCATCATCAATCCGAGTAAATCAAACCTCGTTGTTGAGTGCTCAATATTTGTCCAAAATGTTTTCGCTGCTGGGTATTGATGTTTGTCTCTTTAAAAGGTATGTGATCTTCAAAACTCGGATTAGCAATATGAATATCATATAAAATAAAAATTTATATGAATCTTGTAAAATGATCTTTTGATTAACATGAATAATGTCATTTTTAAAATATGATTGCAATTTCTTGGAATTTTAGCATGTTAAAATGATCATTTATAAGAAATATATTTGGTTCGAATTTTTGCAAACTTACTGGTGCTATCAAAACCATGAACTGAGATGCATGGAACAAATCAGTACAAAAAGATGGTTGTTCCTGATTACATGGTGATCGGTCCATGGTTTATCTTGAAACCCTTGATCCTATATGCGCCTATCAACTGTTTGTTGTTAAGATTGTATATATGGATATTGGTTATAAAGCTTTGATGTGCAATAGACTGTGAAAACGAAATCAGAACTCTAAATGTTCATATGGTGATTTCATGTTCATCAATGTCTGCAATATCGATGAGGAGCTTAAACTTGGCAAATATTCCGATCCTTACAGGTGGCAACTACAAGAAGTGGAGAAGGGATATCAATTTACTATTGACTCTTAATGAGTTTGATATAGCAATTGATAATCCTAGGCCTGTCATAAGTGATCAAAGCACCAGGGTAGAGAGATCAGATTTTGAGAGGTGGACAGGGGCCAACAAAGTAGCACTTTCCATCTTAGAAGCTGGGATGTCTGATACCATCAGAGGAGGAATCAAGAAACCAGAACTGGCTGTGGACTATTTGGCTGCAATTGAAAAGAAATTTAAAGAGTCTGAGAAGGCAGAAGTGAGCCAATACATGTCCTTGCTCACTACTTAAAAAATTGAAGGTACTGGCTTTATAAAAGATCATATAATGAAAATGACAGATGCTGCCGAAAAGTTGAATTCCATGGATGTAAACATTGGAGAGAAGCAGCTTGTGTTTATGATCCTTCAAGCCTTCCCCACAAAGTATGGTCAGGTGAAAGTCTCCAATAATACACAAGAGAAAAGCTGGGATATAGATGAACTAATTGCACAATGTATGCAAGAAGAAGCCCGACAAAAGCAAGAGAAAGGCAAGGAGATTGAAGAAGCAAACTATGTGCAATCTGGAAGAGAGAAGAGAGCATTCAACAATGGTGGCTCTTCTGGTCCTAGTAAGAATTCTAAATTCACTAAAAATTCTAACAAATTCAATATATCTGCTAAAGTAAATGATTCCCCCATAAAATCTATCAATTTTAAAGCTAAACCTAAAGATGTGTCTAAACTTAAGTGTTTTTAGTGCAAGACTAAAGGGCATTTAAAAGTTAATTGTGAAATTTTTAAAGATTATGTTAAGAGCAAAGAGAAAGAACTAGTACATGTCTGTGTTGAGTCAAATCTTTGTGAAGTATCTGTTAACTCTTGGTGGTTTGATACTGGATGCTTAGTACACATAACTAACTCTTTGAAAGGTTTTCAAAAACAAAAGGAAATTGGAAATGCTTTGTATCATGTCTATGTTAGGGAAGGGACTAAGGTTGCAGTGCATTCCATAGGGATAGTCAATCTGAAACTGACTTCTGGTTTTGTTTTACAATTAAAAGATGTGCTCTATGTGCCCAAAATGAGAAGAAATTTGGTTTCTACTTCTAAAATAATAAAAGATGGTTATGCATTCTTTGCTGATGATGTTTGTTTGAAAATCTTTAAGAAAGATTGTTTTGATAAAATTTTGGGAACTGCCCTCTTGTCTGAAAATCTCTGGCGTCTAGAGTGTCTAGGTGAGTATGTTGACCACTCACTTTTAAATGTCAGTTAAAAGAGAATGCTAGAACAAGATACTTCTTATATTCTTTGGCATAAGAGATTAGGGCACATCTCTAAAGAAAGAATTCTTCAACTTTCTAAAGTTGAATTGATACCAAAATTAGATCCTGCCACTGCAACAGAATGTGTTGATTGCTTAAAGGGTAAAATGACCAACTTTATAAAATTAGATGCCAATAGAAGTCAAGGGTTGCTTGAAATCATACACACTGATATTTGTGGCCCTTTTCCAGTCAAAACAATATATGGAAACAAGTATTTTGTTAACTTTATAGATGATTTCTCTAGACTAGGATACACTTTTCTTATTAGTGAAAAGTCTGATGCCCTTAAGTGCTTTATTATTTACAAAACTGAGGTTGAAAAATAGTTAGGTAAAGTTATTAAAATTGTTAGATCGGATAGGGGAGGAGAATAGTTTGGCAGGTATACTGAATCAGGACAACAAAATGGACCATTTGCACTTTATTTGGAGCAAAATGGCATTGTAGCTCAATATACAACACCAGGCATACCTCAACAAAATGGAGACTCAGAGAGAAGGAATAGGACTCTAATTGGCATGGTAAGAAGTATGATGACAAGATCGAAGTTGCCAGTATTCTTATGGGGAGAAGCCTTGAAAACTGCCAACTACATTCTCAACCGAGTTCCAAGTAAATCAGTCTCTTCAACACCTTTTCAAATATGGCATGGTACAGTTCCTAATTTTGGCTATTTTCATGTTTGGGGATGCAAGGCTGAAGCTAGATTTTACAACCCAAATGAGAGGAAGTTGGATCCCAGAACATAATCTTGCTATTTTATCGGTTATCTTGAAAAATCAAAGGGGTTTCGATTCTAAATACCTCATGGTCATACTAGAATCCAGGAGACACACAATGCATTTTTTTCTTGAAGATCAAGATGTTTCCAATTTGACAAAAAAAAAAACTTTAATTTTGAAGAGGAGGATCAGTCACATGATATCTCTGAAGCTACCAACTAAAACCAGGTCCCATTATTCCGTCAATCATCATTAACTAAAAAAGAAGAAATAATTACAGATTTGGAGTCTCCTATAGATCAAACTATGGAATCAACAAATACCTGCACCTGCATCTGTTTCAGATTCAAAACAACTAGTTTCAGTTGAGAACCAACTTTTGTTTGAACCAAGAAAGTCAACCAGAGTTAGGAAATCGACAACTGTGAGTGATTATGTCTATTTGGAAGAAGCATACTTTGACATTGGTGATATTGATGACCCTCTTTCATACTTTCAGGTCATGGAGAGTTCACAGTCAACTCTATTGCAGAATGCAATGAAGGAAAAACTAGATTCGATGTACAAAAACAATGTTTAGACACTTGTGGAGTCTAGCCTTCAAACCAAGCCTATAGGTTGTAAATGGGTATACAAAACCAAAAGAGATGTTCTTGGTTGAATTGAGAGATACTAAGCTAAATTAGTAGTAAGTGGCTTCACCCAAAGAGAAGGTATTGATTACAACGACTTTTTCCCCAGTGTCTTCTAAAGATTCCATGCGAGTTGTCATGGCTTTGGTTGCATATTTTGACTTGGAACTGCATCAAATGGATGTGAAAACAGCTTTATTGAATGGAGACCTAGAAGAGTGTATTTATATGAAACAACCAACTGGATTTTTTGAAAGGGGGAAGGAAAACATGGTTTGCAAACTCAATAAGTCGATATATGGATTAAAATAAGCCTCTAGACAGTGGTATTTAAAGTTTGATCATATTGTTTATTCTCAGGGATTTGTAGAGAACAAATTGGATGATTGCATTTACATCAAGTTTTTTGGTTCACATTTTATTCTTTTTGTGCTTTATGTTGATGATATCCTTCTAGCAGGCTCTTGTTTTAAGTTGTTACAAAGAACCAAAAGAATGCTCAGTGAAAGTTTTGATACGAAAGATCTGGGAGAGGCACACTTTGTGTTGGGAATTGAGATTATACGTGATAGACAGAAAGGATTGCTTGGCTTATCCTAAAAAGGTTACATTGATAGAGTATTGCACCGATTTAATATGGAAAGTTATAGTTGTGGCCAAGTTCCAGTTAACAAAAGGGATAAGTTCTCGAAGAATCAATGCCCGATGACTGATTTGGAGATAAAGAAAATGCAATCTAAGCCTTATGCTTCTCTGGTGGGAAGCCTTATGTATGCAACCGTATGTACACGACCAGACGTTGCGTTTATAGTAGGAATGTTGAGAAGGTTTCAAGCAAATCCAGGAGAAGCACATTGGATATCTGCCAAGAAGGTTCTGAGATACTTGCAAAGAACTAAAAACTTTATGTTGGTTTATGGCAAGAGTGAATCTTTGGAACTTGAGGGGTACACTGACTCCGATTTGGTAGGTGACGTGGATGATAGAAAGTCAACAGGTGGTTATATTTTCATGTTGAATGGTGGAGCAGTTTCCTGGAAGAGTGCTAAACAAACTCTCATTGCTACATCTACTATGGAAGATGAATTTGTAGCTTGTTTTGAAGGAATGAAACAAGCTGTTTGGTTGAAGAACTTTCTGTCAGAATTGAAAGTTGTAAATTCAGTTCAAAAACCTATGAGAATGTTTTGTGACAACAATTCAGCCGTGTTCTTTGCAAAAAATAACATAAGAACTTCTGCTTCGAGGTTAATGGATGTAAAATTTCTTAAAGTGAGAGAACAAGTAAAGAAAGGGATGATTGATGTTCAGCACATTAGTACTGTTTTGATGATTGTAGATCCTTTGACTAAAGCGCTGCCTATTGGAGAGTCTTAGAAACATGTATCTCGGATGGGAGTATTGGAGAGTCTAGATCAGTGGGAGTAATTGGTTTGTTTCGGAAAACTTGAAGGTTGCAGCTATGTAAGTAATTCAAGTCTAGATCAGTGGGAGTAATTGGTTTGTTTCGGAAAACTTGAAGGTTGCAGCTATGTAAGTAATTCAATTTGGGATTGTGCTTGTGATTTTGGTCTAAGCTAGCTTACTTTGTTATGTTTAGTTTGTTAGTTTGTTTTGTATTTTTAAAATAAGTGTCTTTATCTCGAGACTTAATGCTTCGGTTTTGGAGTATTGTGGTTTTGATGATGGACTTGTTAGATTCATATGATACTTTGGAAAACAATTTGTTTGTTTTAAAAGGTTTATAGTTCATGAATTTTATTCAGTCATTGAAATGTTGCTTTTCAATGAAGATTAATATATGTTATGATATTTTGAAAAGTGGGAGCATATTCTGGATTGTTTTGTGTTAATCATGAGTCATTTTTGCAGATTGGATACATTTGAGTCTTGAATCAATGCTACTTTTGGTTGTAGTTTGAGATTCTTGGCTTTTTTTTTTTGAAATGCAATGGGACATTGGTCATGATGATAAAATCTTGAATAAGGTTGTGTGATCACTTCTTATAAATTGGTGAAGGCTGTGCTCGTTCTATGTCTCATGTTCAAGTGGGAGAATGTAAGAATATGAACATGAGTTTTTGGTGAACTGGTATTAGCTATTTGGACCAATTAGTATAAGAAAGCCTTATAGGAAGATGAATGTGAGTTCTTGTTGATAGGGGGGGGTCTATCATAGTGGTGAACTAATGTGGATTAGGAGACATAAGTTGTTTCCTGCAGGGATTTTAATAGGGAATCCTTATTGGATTAGGAGAGATATATGTCTATATATATATTGTGACCTTTGCTGTCACATATGTACGCTCGATTAAGAACTAAGTCCTATTCTTGGTTAGGGCATAGATTCGTCTAACAGAGAGGAGAAGGATTGCAACGCACTAAGATTTAATGGCAGCAGCTATGGTGTCTTCCAATGGCAGTTCATCAGGTCAGTGGTATTGCAAAGTTCTTGACATATTTGTGTAAGAGTTTTTCATGCTTTCTTGTTTGTGATTTATGCGACTTAATCTTGTTCTTGGCGATATAAGTTTACAACCATCCCAGAAACTCATGCATCCTCTCAACGAAGCTTTGCTGGCTCTTTGTTTTCCTCACCTGCAATTAAGAGTCTAGACCCCCTAA